TCGTGCATATTTAAATGTAACGGATTGTAATCAAGGTGCTTTTGAGTCTGTGAATATGTCTGAATGTTTACCAATGAGGCCTGAAAGACTTGATAAAATCATTAAAGCTACAAGAGACGATCCGGTTTTGCAATTGTTGTATACTGTAATCCAAAACGGATGGCCTGTTACTAAAATTCATTTGCCTAAAGAACTAACTCCGTATTTTAGTTTTAGTGACGAACTTACTATAGAGAATGGTATTATTTTTAAAGGTAACTGTGTGCTCATACCTATATCATTACGCGCTGAATTTAAGAAACATTCACACGCTGCACATATTGGTGTAGAAGGATGTTTAAGAAGAGCTCGTGAATGTATGTTTTGGCCTGGTATGTCATCTGATATCAAACAACTTGTATCTGCCTGTGAAACCTGTCACAACTACGAAATATCAAACCAAAAGGAAACTTTGATTAGTCATGAGGTACCAAAGCGTCCGTGGCAAAAAGTTGGTGTTGATCTATTCGAACTGGATAATAAACAATACTTAGTGACTACTGATTACTATAGTAACTTCTTTGAGGTTGATCGCCTTTATGATACGAAAACTGGAAGTGTTGTTAATAAACTGAAATCTCATTTTGCTAGGTATGGTATCCCTTGCCAACTAATTTCTGATAATGGACCTCAGTTTTCGTCATTCGAATTTCATCATTTTGCTGAAATCTGGGACTTTGAACATATTACTAGTAGTCCGTATAACAGTCAGTCTAACGGAAAAGCCGAAAGTTCTGTCAAAACTGCGAAACGCCTATTACGTAAAGCTAAAGACACTTACGCTGATGAATATATAGCTTTATTAGATTTCCGTAATACGCCTACTCAAGGATTGACAACAAGTCCAGCACAACGGTTAATGAATCGACGTACTCGCTCTTTGTTGCCTGTCAAGTCATCACTCCTTGAACCTCGTAATGTTAATCCTAAACTGGATCGTGCTGAACTTCAACGTCAGAAGGATAAACAATCTGCCTATTATAATCGCTCAGCGAAAGATTTACCTTTACTGAAAGCTGGAGACGTTGTACGTATTAAACCTTTTAAACTTGGTGATAAAATTTGGAAAAAGGGGGAGGTAATACGTAGACTCAATGAACGCTCTTATCTGATTAGAACTGATGAAGGTACTTTCAGACGCAATCGTAAATTCCTACGTCAAACTGCTGAACAATCTGATTTATTGGTTCCTTATCCTCCGGATGAAGCTGCTGAAAACAACGCAGAAGCCAATGTACAACATAATCTTCCTGATCAACAAGATGCTGTACAACCTGATGTCGTAGATAATCAACCAGAAGTCAATATACCAGTTCTACAACCTGCTGTTCATGATCGAAATAATATGAGAGACAATATAGTCACACGTTCTGGACGTCTATCACGGAAACCCAAATATCTTAAGGATTATGTTACATAGTCTGCAAAAATGTGTTTTCTTGTATAGTGAGTGTGTTTCCTGTATTATGTGAAATTTTATTATCTACGCATAAGTCTGTGTTTCAAAATGTTACGTTTATACTGTGTACTTTATTATTAGGTCAGATTCTGTGTGAAGGACTTAGCTCTTTCTGAAAAGAGAAAGGATGTAACAATATTGACCTAATAAGCCTCTTGACAATATTGTGGTGCATCGCCGGTGCCGAGCATCAGATTATGTAGTTTATATTGTCCAATCGTCTGTGCTTATCTTACTAATGGCTCATCATTAAAGTTTATGTTTATTTTACTCTGCGTCTCTATCCGCTCGTACGCTGCTCCAACCCGCCCCAAATCATAATTTAACAGTCTCAATGCTGGGCTACCAGGCTACTTTCTCATTTTGTAATAGTCTCCTTTGTAGGTCTGTGTATGACACGGCTTAGATCTGGATATGAAAGTTGTCTTGAATGCAGTGTGAGAATTGATATGTGTTTGTTCCTGATTTTGGTTGATTCTGTTTCCCAGTTGATATCTCTGTAATTGAAGTCACCAATAATCAGTAGATTTTCCTACTTGGTACATGTTTCTTAAAATTTTTTTTAATTGGACACAGTTTTCATCACTGGTAGTTGGGCTTCTATATATATACATCCATTTTGTCTGTCCTGTTTATCTGTATTTTGAACCTTTTTATTTGAATTCCATAAACGATAGTTCCTCTTTCCCTCTCTGATGTTAACTTGTTCCTGACATAAATAATTACACATCGGCCGTGGTCTTGTCTGTTGAAGAACATGTCATAATCTTGAATTAAGAAACCAGTTTCAGATAGATCTCTATTATTGTCTTTTTGTATAAGGATCTCGGTTAGGGCACTAATTCCTGGTTTGGTTTCAACCATCAGAGTAGATAGATCTTTCTTTTATTCTGGAGATTGTCAACATTACTGTACAGAAGTTTTTAATTCAGTTAAAACGGGTACAATGTGATGAGGGTGTATAAAACTGATATCCTATTCTTGATCAATGACTGTCTCGTTGCTGTACATATAGATCATGGTTTCCTCGTCTGCTTGAGAATTGTTGAAGGAATGTTTGCTGTTGGTTTGGTCTCTTTGCACAAGATTTCCAATTCTTCTCTGAAGTATAGGGGTGCTGGTGTTAAATTGGGTCATATTTGTATATGTACCAGTAAGTCTGTTAGCTAATGTTTTTGCCTAGTTTGCCCATAGGTTACAGATGACATCTTGTGTGACTTCCTGGGAGGGAATGAGAATGTGATTGATTCTGTCTGGGGTTGGTAGGATTTATGGCTTGTTCACAATCGAGCCTCTTCTAATTTTCTGTCTCTAAAGACATCAAATATCTTTCATTTGTCCTTGCTTTCTTGAAGAATAAGCTTGATAGGTCGACACATGTTGGTTGTTTTTCCTACCCTGACCACGGCTGATAGAGGACCTAAACAACGGTCTCTAGCCCAGCCTCTGATAGATATTTGGACAGATGTCAGCTGGTGTAGAGACAGAAAAAATAGGTCCTATTAAATGGGTCCATTCCGCATCCCCGCAGGTTCGGGTTTTTTTTAAACCTTTTTATTTTTGTAGATCATACCATCATTTTCTCCCTACACCATTTTTGTCATGTCTCCGGTTCCATTAAAGTTTTTTTTGGAGAAGCAGATCTTGCATCGGCCATTTGAAACTGCGTGCCAAAAGTCAAAAGTTCAAAGGCTACGTGATACAAACTAAACGAAAGTTACGGCGATGCCCAACACTAATTTAAATCATCTTTGGAGGTGTGGAGACTTAACAAGGTCTTCTTCTGTCTACTCCAGCTGACATCTGTCAAAATATCCATCAGTGGCTGGAATAGAGGCTAATGTTTCGGACTAGGCTGACAGTAGAATGTTTGCAATGTCAAGGTCCTTAAAGATGGGTTTCCCCATTGTTTTAGTGTCAAATTAAGCAAACTATTTGATTAATTGGTGTTCCTAATGAGTTATCATGTATGGTTAATCATATCATTATGTTCTTACTACATACAATTAAGAGTATGACCCAATCACAAATGTCCATGTAATTACAGTCTGGATAACAAAAAAAAGACTTGTTGACCATTCTTGATCGGGCACTCGTTGGAATTCTGCTGGTAATTCGCCTAATTATGAATTGATTATGGACATGTGAGACAAACTGGTATTTTTCCAAGTCATTAGAACACCTCTACTTTCTATTCATATCAGTAAAAGCATTTCCATTTTCATAAATGAAAATAAGGGAACTCATCTTTAACAGTTCAATATCTTCAGCTTTTATCCCCTCTGGATTATCTGATCTAGGTCCTGGAAGATTAAAAATCTCCAGGTTGTTTTCCTTTCTTTTTTGGCCGTCATGCTCGTTAAGATGATCAGTTATTGTACCAACTAGTTCTTTCTGGATATTTGTCTGTATTTCTCTCATAAAATCATTTTTCATGCTGGGTATTTCAGGCTATATCTGTTTTGGGGATATCTATTGATGACCTCTCGATCAAAATTGATAATAATCGGATGAACGGGTCGATTAGACTTTGATGTACTGTTTTTGAGGTTTTACTTTGACTTTTGATTATTTAAAATGCATGGCCACTTAAGACTTAAGTAGTGGGCGTATGTTACCTCGTCTGGTAAGATATCTTTTTGGTAAGTTATAGGTCATGACTATCAACATGAATAAATTTGGGACATATATATATCCGCGGCTGGTTAGATATTTGTAGCCCCTACTTTGGTTAATATTTTGATTAGACATAAAGAATATCGTGGTTAGTCCTTTTAGATTGCTATTTAGAGCGTAAAAGTTATTTTGTGTAACGATTTTGGGAGTGGTTACAATCCTTAAAAATAGCTTGCGTACATCACGCCTCGTCGGTTGTAGAAAGGAAGGGATATAGATGAAGTAAAGGGGTTACAGAACATCATCTGGATGTTATGTACTAGTATTTTTTTTAGATTTCCAATTATAACTTTATATTGTCCATAAGAGTCGATTGAAATCTACACAAAACATCCAGGCAGTGCCATATGTTAGACACAGGCAATGAATTTAGGTCTATATTCAAACTCGACCTTCAGTTGGCAATTATACAGCTTACTTCTCGTACCATGTAAATACCCAAATTAGACACGTTAAGAAATAAGTATACACTTGCAACACAAAGTGTACGTATTTTATTATATGCAGAAGCAACCAGTTAACTATGATTTATGTCGGATAAGTTGTTTGTATTTCAGATTTAATTGATATATAGAAATGTGAAAAGGTGTGGATCAAAAACTTAAAAAGAAATATGATAAAAAAATAAATAAATGTGTGAGAAATTGGCTTGTGACAAAACAATTTTAATCTAAATTTAACTGGTGCAGTCATGCAAAGCGACAAGAGCAGACAACGTTCTTGAATACCTGTTCTTCGCCATAGCGTTATTAAGGACAAAATCTATTTCAAAACTGAGGTGCGGGAAATGTTCTCACCTTCAGTAGCGAATTTATGCGGGAATTGGGTACATGGTGCCACCCCTTTCCCCCTCGGGACAGAAAAAAATGAAAAGGTAGTGGACCACAGGCATATACGCCCATCACGGCATGCGGATGGTAAATATTCAAGATTTTGGGGCAAGGGCAATAACTCTGCTTCTAACGGTCGAAAATAGCTCAAATTCGAACTTGATCTTCGTTTATATACGCCCACACGAATATGTGGTCGTATATTGTCGTCGCCCCTGTCCGTCGGTCCGTCGGTCGGTCGGTGTGATGCTTTAGATTGATAAGATATCGGTCAAGTTCGAATTTTCGATGAACGGTTTTTGAGATATTGCCCTTGACTTAGAACGCCTTGAAATTTGTTAAAAATTGTTCGTGAGCAGGATTGAAGCTACAGTTTTCATCCGATTCTGATGAAACTTGGTGTGATCATTGGAATTCATAAGATCTCGGACAAGTTCTAACTTGACGCATTTTCGATGAACGGTTTTTGAGTTATTGCCCATGACTTTGTTAAAACGCGTCGAAATTTGTTAAAAATAGTTCGTGAGCAGGATTGAAGCTACAGTTTTCAACCGATTCTGATGAAACTTGGTGTGATCAATGGAATTGATAAGATCTCGGACAAGTTCTAACTTGACGCATTTTCGATGAACGGTTATTGAGTTATTGCCCTTGACTTTGTTAAAATGTGTCGAAATTTGTTAAAAATAGTTTGTGAGCAGGTTATTGTCATTAACTTACGAAAAACACGTCAAAATTTGTTTGTGAGCACAATAGAAGCTACAGTTTTCAACCGATTTTGATGAAACTTGGTGTGATCATTGGAATTGATAAGATCTCGGACAATTTCTAACAAGAGATATTTTTGATGAACATTTTTGAGTTATTGCCCTTGACTTTGTAAACACGCGTCAAAAGTTGTTTTTTGCCCTTGATTAGAGCTGTGTGATTTAATCATTTGTTGTATTTGGGTTGTTGATATTGATTTTAAAAAAATTTGTGGAATTTCTGACAGCTGCCAGTGGGCGTATGTTACCTTGCCTGGCAAGCTATCTTTTGAATATGTCTACACATACCGAATTTCATTTGATTCCATCAAAAAATCTTGTTTTTAGAGCGTTTACAAGCAAATGTTGACGGACGGACAGATGGACGACAATATACGTCCACATAGAGAGATGTGGGCGTATAAAAATTATTTTACATCCATTGCCAAAATCGCGTTAGATGCATTCTCTTCCTTCTTAGCCCTATAAATAAATAAATCACGTCCGAAATCCTGGTTACGCTACTGCTCACCTTTTAGCAGAACCAAAACTCTTTCCGTGGAATCAGGGACAAATTGATTATCGGGAGGGGTGAGTTTGAGTGTCCCAAAATTGAAGCTTAAAAGAGTTTATGGGCGTGTGAATACTTATGAATAAAGTTATGAATTTCATTATGATGATACTGATGGGACACAATTATACTTATCATTAAATATAAATATGGTATTAATACTTTGTATAGTGTGATGCATTAAGTGTATCACAGAGTGCATTTCTATTTCATACCGTCCTATCGTTATAGAAATATCCCGTTGATACATGCAAACAAAATGGATCGGAAAATGAATAGCAGAGTTTTACATCTTTGATGGTAAATGAAGG